TAACAGAAGGAAGTTTAACATCTACGAAACTACGAGGGAAGCTAGTCATTCCGGAATGACACTTTCCAGTGACATGGCTGCTTTGGGGTCACAGACACTCCTATAAATAACCCATCATGTGGTTTAATATATGTGATAAACGCAGTGTTTCCTCCGGTTGGATTTTGGTGGAGCTGCCCAATGACCTGTCGTTGGTGCCCCATCTGGGGGTAGTATGTGCTTATTTGCATCTCCTAAGAACAGTTCACACAACAGTTTCCTGGTATTTTAGCTAAGTGCTTGCTCAGTCCCCCGCCCAGCAGCATAGTCTAAACCTCAGAAATATTAGGAATCCAGGTCTACAGTCTAGTTTTGGCTCTCAAACTCGTGGATTTGGGAAGACATGACACTCTCGGGAATATAATGCTTCCCCTTGGGCTCTAAGACAACCCAAGGAGACGGTACCTTTTGCTTGCCTGCATGCTCTATATGCACAGTCTGACACATCCGCTTCCTGAAGAGCCGACTGCACAACTCACACACCACGCCTGCGCACCAGTGTGGAGCTGCTCTTCCCTTCCCTGGACTGCAGACATCTGGGATCCCTTGGGAGCAGAATGGAGCTCAGCGGAAGCCTGTCGCACTGCTCTGACATGGCAGATAGCTGCTAGAGCTGTCATGGTGATGCTGCAGAGGTGATACGTCACGAGCAGAACTGTGCTTCTCTGCGCCCCAGCCCTGCAATGTGGCCCTTTTACTAGGTGAGAAGGCAGCATGCTGGCAGGGATGTGAGTGTGAGAGCCCTCTTCCAGGCACCCCTGCATGAGCTTCAGCTTTAGTGGGTGCAGGCCTATACGAGGTAGGACACAGAGCAACAGGCATGGCAGATCACTGAGAAGAACAAAGAGCCACTTCCGGAAGGTTGGCTAAGCCTCCTCTGAGGACTGTGGGACTCAGGCAATAGCCAGCCATATTGGCTTCAGCTCTGGCAGTGAAAAGTGCAGGCACCTGTCACATGGCCTGGGAGAGTGGTAAGGGATACCACGTGGGTGCACACAGGACAGCCAGTACAAGACTAGCCACAGGAAGGAGGGGTCAGCACTGGAGTGTTAGCACAAGAAAAAGAGTTCCTAAAAAGGATGAGAAAAGACATACTGGGCAGGCGGCATTACCACAGACTAGAACGAGGGCAGAGCGACAGGGGCAGACCAAGACATCAACACTGCCGGAGCCTAGCTGTCCTGGTGTGGACCTGGGACATGAAGGCAGAAGCAGGCTAAGGGGCCCCATCGAAACAACCACAACTGACAGCCATGTAGCTGCAAGGTTCCCCCAGCAAAAGCACAGGGAGGTAAATACCCCTGTGTGGAGACACTCGTGAGCAGGTGCCACACGTTACCTGGGCATGTGTCCGACCGTCCTCACCACAGGCCGCTTTGCACGCGTCTGAGCCCACTCTGAACATATCAGCCTGATCCTTCACCTACCCTCACTTCCATCCAATGTCTGCCAGGAAGCTTCAAGTATTGGGTCAGTCACACAAAGAACGCTCAGCTCCCACTTCAGTGAGCTACTAAGTCTCACTTCCCCAGCATCTAGTCAGAAAACCATGGATGTGGGTTTCTCCAGAGAAGCAAGTAAGACAGACAGACAGACAGACACACACACACACACACACACACACACACACACACACACACACCACTCAGATAGCATTATGTTAACGATACTGAGTCAAACACTTGTAAATGGTTGAATTAGCAGTTGAAAGCTAAAGTTTAGCCCCTAGACTGTGGTGAGTTTGGTGTAGATGACAGTAAGGGTAGGAGGAAGATCAAATGTTCACATCACAGAGGGTGGAGTCGGACAGACTCACCAACATCCTCTCATGATCCATGTTCTGAGGCAAGCCAATGACTTGTTAATTAAATAAAGCTAATTAAAATAGCCACAATTTTTGGTTTCAGCATTGAAACTTTGATCATATTAAAACATAACATAATTTACATTATGCTGTTTTTCATGTAATCTCATCCACCCATCTAGCCTGGTACCATCCATCCATTCCTCTGTCCATCCATCCATCCATCCACCCACCCACCCATCCTTCTATACAAATATCCATTCACACATCTATCCATTCCTCCACCCACCGCCCATCCACATACCTACCTATGCACCTATTCTCTTATTTACTTATCATTTCACCCTCTCACACATCTGTCTGCCTACATAGCACCCACCTATCTATCCATCCCTCCGTCTATACCCTTCTCCACCCCTTCACACACCCACCCATTCCTCCACCCACTACCATCCACATATGTATCTACGTTTCCATCTACCCACTTATTTTGTTATCTATCAGTCTATTAAACTCACACATCTGTCCATCTACACTGTACCCACCAATCTATCCATCCACCCCCAAAAGCACCTCCACTCACTATGGATGAAGAAGGTGGGGCTGGATTTAAAGACTCATCTGCTACATTAGTTTTCCAAGTGTGATTCCTGGGTCAGCACCATCTTCATCATCTGGTAATTTTAAGGTGAAAATTCTCAGACGTTGCTGCCCTGCTTTCCTTAGCCAAAAGCTCTGGGGTGGCTTGCATTTGTGTTACCCAGCCCTTGAAGAGACTCAGGAACGTCTCTAGCTCAAACACAAGGAACATTCAACTAAGACCCCACCATTTCTCCCCTACAAGTTTCTTGTTTTTACCAAGTACTGCAAATCTGAACAGAAAACCAAAACAGATGAAAATGCTGGAAAGGAGCCTAAGAACCCAAAGGCTCCTTTCTGTTCCAACAGGCTTCTGCTGTTGGAAAGTGTCCAGCATGGGCACAAAGGTCAGGGTCGGAGCACACACGAAAGCTAAGTGCTCAAGGTCAAACAGTACAGAACCTGGGTAGCACGCATCATGCTGAGTACTGAACAGCCCGGGTAAGAAAGTTCTGAGTCATGGGGCACAACATCCAAATCCGTAGAGAAAACAAGCAGCATGGCCTGACCAGCGCAGGCTTCATTCTTGCCTGTGAGCTCAGGGTAAAGCCACAGAAGGTCAGGTGACATGCAGCCCCAAGCATAGTCACTGTGCTCAAGCCCTCGGCTGTAACCCCACGCCCTTCATTCTGGGCAGTGTCACCAGTTTCTAGATCAAACTTCCAGAACTCTTACCCACTCCTGGACATGACCTTAACCTGACCCTGGAGCATGAACAACCCTATGACCTTGAGCCACACTCTGCAAGATGGGACTCCAGGCCGCGCTCAGAATGTAAACCCTGAGTGATAATTATGACATAGACCTCCATCATTTCCTTAGAGGGATGGGAGCCAGCACCCACACTTTGCATGGACAACTCCTGTCCCCATCGCATGGCTTATAGCCTCTACCCTTCACAACCCACCTCCCAATGTTAGCGCAGGGGTAAACCCTGGGTTATGCCGAGAAGGGGCCGATGTGCAGCAGAGGCAGGAAGGATGTGGGAGTGGGTGACATCTTCCTCCCTACCACTGAATAAAGGATGCTCGCAACGGAGGGTCCTGCCGACCACATCTTGGCGTCCGAGTAAAATCTGCAGCTCGAGGACTGCAGAAGCACTAGAGGGCACGGGCTGGGCGCTGCGGCTTCTCATGAGACAATAGTGGCCTCCGGGGCCAAGCATCCTAGGACCCTCGGACAAGCACACTCAGTGAGTACCCAGCCCAGGTTCGGCTCCTTGTCCTTCAGAGCCCATGAGGAAGCCTCAGCCTCTAAAACCCAGGGATGATGTCACTGCCCGAGCAGTTCCCGCTCTGTGATCCCCCACACCAGCCAAGCCCAGGTGGACAGACCACCGAGTCCTACCCCTTCCTTGGGACCCCCGGGCAGCCAGGCAGCTCCACAGGGCTCAGTACTCATCCAGACCTTGCCCAAGCAACACCCAGAAAAGTGGGCCACAGCTCTAGGAGGAAGGGGACAGATGGCATAAATGCCCCCCCCCATTTATAATGAACAGCAGTTTCTGTTGCAAAACCAGCATAAAGTGACCGTCTACACAAGTGCCAGGAGACCATCCCATTGGATGTTTACGCTGATTTAGTCATTTAATACACCTAGGGGGATGCCACACCCGAGCCAGACAATGAATGACATTTGAATTCCTGGGGGAAGTGTTATTTAGAAAACTAGATAAGGACACACATCACATGACACATGGCAAAAACAGTAACTTACTTTTAATGGCAGAACACTATTTCCTGTCCATGTCAGAGAGAACTAGTCAGTGGGACCTGGTTCTGCAGCATGGCAGGAGGGAGCCCTCAGCATAACTCACGGAGGCGAACAGCAACAGCATGCCCCTGTCAGCTCTGAGGGCCCCAGAGCTACCGGAGCCCACAGCTTCCCTGATGGCTCATTTTAAGTAATCAATGAATCCTGAAAATGAATGTCTAATTACACTGCTCTCCCTTTTTTCAAACCTGTATTATTCGCAAACATTTGCCTTAAGGTTGGACAGCGCATGGTGAGGATTTTCCCCATAAATGAACATCTGTTGCCTCCTATCCCCATCCCAGTGTCTGAAGGGCTTGGACCCTGGGCCTTTCCGGACTCTTAAGTCCATGGCCACTGCAGCAAAAGAGATGATGTTCTCAAGCTGACTTGCAGAATCCCCCACAGGCAAATGGCTCTGCATACAAACCCTGTATCTCCTAGAAAGCCAGTGCCACTGATCTGTAATTCTCTAAACTGTGTCAATCAGAATAAAAGCACACTGTCAATCCACACAAATCTATCAGGTACCAGAAAATGCCCACCGCATCTGTCTTTCCTGTTACCGATGCTAGGGGAAAGTGAATGAAGGTGGTTATCCAGCCATTAGATGCAATTCTTTACAATTTGACAAATGATGTCAAGCTCAAGAATATATAATCAAGGCCAGTGGCTCCTCCTACCAGTGTTCTTGGAAACCGCGTTTAATCTCTGCACCATTTCTTCTAGGGCCATCTCTTCATTTCTCAGCCAAAACCTCATCCTCCGATTCAACAAAACCGATCCCTGGAAGACCGTCCTCCGTCCTGCGCTGCACCAGAGGTGCCGTCGGGTGGGGCCGAGCGGTGGGGAGGGGGCGCGGCTGGAGCGGGGAGGGGGCTGTGGCGCTTTCCTTGGCTCCTCAGGATTGGTCCCCGGGCCACAGGGAGGGGGGCGCGCTTTGCGCCGATGGGGGGCGGGGGGCGCTAGGCGGAAGCGGAAGCACTGAGTCTGCCGGGCGTGTCACCACCCCGCACCTGGGAGTCATGCGTGTGTGCACCACCTGAGCACCTGGGAGGCTAGTTCGCATCAAAAGGGCATCTCACAGGTCTGCCCTCGTCCTTTCCCGGCCCCGTCCCCCCCCCACCCCCCCCCCGCTCTGGGGCTGGTGTCCTCCGGGATTGGAAATAGCTGCTGCAGGGAAGCAATCCCACGCCACCCTAAGAACACGGAGCCTTGGCCCGGTGCTCCCCTCACTTCCTGCCCCGGGCCCCCTTTACCTCCCGCCGCTGCAGGGCAGGTGCAGAGGCCACAGCAGCCCGGAGCGCGCTCCCCACGAGGCCTCATGCCCAGGTGAGAGGGAGTCGATGGGTGGTAGCTGCAAGGGCGTTGCCAGCCCTAAGACACAGGTCTGCGGGAAGGAAGCTGAGCTGCAGGCCCAGGGCTCTCTAACCTCGCCATGTTTGGCAGAGGGCCACACTGTGCATCTGACACCAGCAGCTCCACACAGATTCCGGGCTGCTGGTGCTCAGGGTACTGCTGCAGTGCATGGGTGGTGGACCAGCCTCCCCAGCCGCTGGCCAGCTTTTCGTCAGGTGGCCTGCTTCCTTAAAAGAAAGTGTTTCAGAAGCGATGGCCATTCCGTACAGGGCAGGGGAAGGGCAGTGCCAAGAGCTGGCGTGCACGCCGTAGTTCAGGCCAACAGCATGAGAGCCCCGGCACTGGGTTTCAATAACACTTGTACACCAGGGCCACAGACCCCAATATACGGCCATGGTGTATGTCAACACCATGAGTGCAACAGCACAAATGTGCACCAACATGTATATGTGCCAGCGCTATGGTGGACCAGGAACACATGTGCACCACCGTGTTATACATGCAGTAACACGCATGTGCACCAAGACCAGTCTCCAGGAATACTGCACCAGCAGCACAGTGTCAACGCATTCGGGTCAGCAGCCTTACCAGTGTCCAGCGACACCTGTGTGTGCCCGAAGACCACCCCTTCCCAGTGTCCATGTGTGCACCAGAACTGGAAAGTCCACATCAGACGCATATGCACCAGGGTGCCGTTTCAACAGGGCACGTGTTGTGGTCATGTGTGGTGGGTGACCTTCAGCACTGAGCTAAGGGTAAAGAGACAAAATAGCAGATGTCCCAGTATTGGTCCTCAGAACTCAGGGTCTGCGAGGTGAAGAGCTATAAAATAATTACCGCACTAAATAAACCCCCGGATAAATATGTGATAAACACACACACACACACACACACACACACGATGAGACAGTAAGAAATTACTGCTTTTCTGAACACCAACCCCCCCCCATGACAGCAGTGTCTTTGGTTTTAAATAATCTCATGAGGCAGAGAAAGAGAGGATTTCAGAGGTTTAGAGTGGACACAGCAACTCTACGTGGACAGCCAAACCCCAGGCTATCCAGGGCTGAAGCAACCTACGCTGTGCCCATGGTCCCAGGAGCCAGGACAGTTAACACTTGGATATGCGTGTCATCTTCAAACGGCCACCCTGTGTGTGCTGGGGGGTCAGACTTGAGCCCCTCAGCTCCAGAACCTTCACGGTCACCCCTCCCCCATGCAGAGCAGGTGCCTGCAGCCTGGGAGAAGGGCCGTGAGAGAACAGGGCAGGCGCTGCAACGCGGGCCCTGCCTTCCCACAGGTCTCTTTCCTCGTCTTCCTTCTGTCCTGCGGAGACAGGCCTACGTCTTTCTAAGTGTGCTTCTGAGCAGCGCAGGCTTTCTTGGGGGAGAACGCTGACGGCTCAGGGCCCGTAGGGTGTCACCTGGATCTGGTTCCTTATGTGCACTCCCATATGGGCCCATGTGGTCCACACCTGGAAACTCTGCTAACATTCCATCTTCAAAGCCAGAAGCAAGGGCAAGGGTGGCGCCTAGCCTGTTGTAACCATCCTGTCGATGCGTGTGGAACACCTCCATGGGACCCCCAAGAGGTCCCAAGCACCTCTTCAAAGACACATATGCTAAAGACTGTCCATCCTTCTGGTGACCAAGAGGCGCCGTGGCCATCTTTCTCCCTGTTGCACACTAAGGATCCTGTGCTCATGAACAGATGGGACAGGGGTGTGGAAGGAAAAGCGGCAGCTGCTTCCATGGAGCCACAGAAGCTCCGCAGAAGTGGGGTCTGGCGTCGCTGTCTCCTCTTCATCTCTTGGGCCTCCTTTGCAGAAGGTGCAGAGAGGGGTCAGCCACCATAAGGCCTTTGCCTTTCCTCTCCCTTGTGTGGTGGTTAATGTGGATTGTGAACTTGGCAGGTTCTAAGTTATCTGGGTGACGAGCCTCTGGGCATTCTCTGAGGGAGTGTACAGATTGGGGTAATTAAGGTTGGAAGAACAACCCCCTTTGGGCAGCCCCGTTCCATGAGCGGGGGTACTGGACTGAATAAATTGAGATCAACAGCTGTACCCATCTCTCCCTGCTTTCTGACAGGTGCAGAGTGATCTGCTGCCTCCAGCTCCTGTCACTGTGAGGAGGGAAGGCACCCTCCAACTGTGAGTCAAAGCAAACCCTTTTCTCCATTAAGTTGGTTTTGTTGGGTATTTTGTTACAGCTACAGAAAAGTAACTAATGTAATCTGAGCTTCCAGAATAGCATCAGCTCACAGGACAGACCTAGCACCCAGTGTGGGTAAGTCCACACCAGGGGCATCAGCCATCATCTCGAGGGAAGCACCCTGTCCCCTCAAACTTGAAGGACTTCTGAAGATCACCTTGTGAACTCAAGCCCTTGCTAGACCACAAGACCAGAGTTACTTAACCATGCATACCTCTTGTCCCCACCCAGCCCTTGCTGTTTAAAGCCTAAACCTCAGGTCAGTACCCCAAAGATAGAGGGCCATTGGACCCCTCATCTGCGACCCCTTACCCATGTGGCCGCCATTATTCATCCCTTTAATGGGCGTTTTGAGACGGGTGGCTGAGCCCAGCTTGTGGGATTCAAGAGCCTGGCTGTTTCTTAAAGCAGTGTTCATCTATATTATGCCTATGGGAGTTCAGTCTGCAAGTTAAGTCTGTTCACCATGTGTGTGCCTGAAGCCCAGAGGCCAGAAGAGGGTGTTGAGTCCCCCGGGACTAGATTAAACAGGGTTGTATGCTGCCATGTGGGTTCTGGGGATGAAACCCAGGTCGTTTGGAAGAGCAGCCAGTGCTTTTAAGCCGAGAGCCATCTCTCCAGACTCACACCCTGGCCTTTGCTCTGAAACCTCCCTGAAAGGACACACAGTAGTGCCCCCCTCCATTGGGGCAGGATTCAGATTCTGACCTAGAACCAAGTACTTGTCTCTAGGACCTTGCCAAGGAATCTGGGTGGAAATGATCTCTGGCAGTTTCTGCAGTTGCCCAGGTCACAAGGTAAGCCCCGCCCCCAGCGGCTCCAGGAAGAACCACGGACCCAGGGGCTGGCTTTCTTCCTTTTCACTGCCTGTCTTGTGGGACAAAGGGCCCAGGGGAGCAGCTCAACCCCAGGCCAGGCCCCAGGAGGGAGGCCATGCTGTAAGGCTACACCTGGATACCAGCCTTTCCCTAGCAACCATTCTGGAAGATCAGCCACGGAGAGAAAGGAGGAGGAGAGCAGACCTGGGTAGGGCAGCCCTGAAGGAGCTACCCCTTCTGAGGTGGAGCTGTGGGAGGAGCAGGGCACACAAAAACACACAAGGATTTCTCCACCCTATAAGGACAACAGACTCCCCAAATGGAGCCAGGAACATCACAGAGTCATCACCAGCTTGAGGGGAGACAGGCAGATCCCTGGAGCTTCTTGGTCAGCCAGACTGACACAGTCCTCAGGCCTCCACACATGTGAACACATATGCAAGTTTATGTATGCCTGTTACTTAACAGGCAAAAGCTTGTGTGTGTGTGTGTGTGTGTGTGTGTGTGTGTGTGTGTGTGTGTGTATGTATGTTTTGTTTTCCAAGACGGGGTTTCTCTGTGTAGCCTTGGCTGCCCTGGACTTGCTTTGTAGACTAGACTGGCCTCAAACTCACAGAGATCCACCTGCCTCTACCTCCCTGAGTGATGGGATTAAAGGAATATGCCATCCTGCCCAAGTGGTAGCTATTTTTAAAGTTTCTGGAATATGTGCATACTTCTATGTATGAAGTTGTGTTCCCAAACACAAGGGTTACTGCCTGTGCCCCAACGAGGTAGGTTTGGCCATCTGTCCTCAATAAGCCATTTAAAAGAGCCAAATCAATAGTGAAAAGCAGGAAAACCAGATTTATTCACTGTGGCTACACTGAGAAAAGGGATAAGGAGATCCAATGACACACCACTGCCAAGCGCATCTTTGGGATCCTGAAATGAGGGTGAGGTTTGATTAGAAGGCAACAGATATGCGTGATTAAGTAGTCTGGTCCAGGTGTAGTCTCCAGCCCTCCACTGGCCGTTGCTTGTCTGGGCTTTAGACATGTCTTGAAAAGTGACCGACAAACTCTGAGCCTCTTTGGGGAGACTCCCTTTGGCTGGTGTTTTTCATTCTCCTAGCGCAAGAGTCCTGTGCAAAGTCCCATTCCTTTGTGGTCCATTGTTTCAATAGCCTGATAGATTGATAGACATATATGCCTCTTTAGAATATCTGTCAAGCCAGTTACAATTTTTTAAATTTCTGTTTAGCACCTCAGCCTTGAGGTGGGATGTGTCAGTATCTGAAACACATTCAGTACACAGACTGCAAGTAGGAAGCAGGGTTAGAATGCATTTAGGTAGTGCCGGGCAGCCATGCATACGGACTACTTCTTCAAAGGTGATTTAGCCAGTGCGGCCGCTCTGGGAAGATGGCCCTGGGGGGGGGGGTGGCCGAAACCTCTGACTGTGGCCATACAGAATAATTTTTTTTTCTGCTTTCACAATTAGTTTGGGTCTTTTAATTACTGAAGATGGATGGCCACATCTGGTTGGCTGGGGCACAGGCGGTGGCATGCTCAGTCGCTCATGAAAAACAGACAGCAGACAGACACAGGGAGCCGAAGTATCCCACGGTATCCCAAAGCAGGTATTGAAATCAGACTGCTGTGCTCCGAGCTACTCCATACTGAATGAACAATTCGTTCAGACTGTTCCTTGCCCTGAGTACCTCCATTTGGTTGCATTCTGAGTGCAAACACAGAGGCAGGGTGACCAGCTGCCACCACCAGCTATGAGACAGGCTGATGCATTGCTTACTCCTAAGAGTGAAAAGGTACCACCTGTAAACTTACCAAAGCAAACTGAGTCCCTGTGAACTCACAGATACTGGAGTCATCAGAAAACTAGGCTGGGAACCTACTTGGCACACCGGACTGGGGAGGTGTTCAACAGCTTTACCTGGGCCCCAGAAAGAGGGTAATGTGTAGAATTGTGATGGGGGTGGCCCGGCCAATCTGTCTGCCGTCTGACAGGGTATGCGCATCAGGGGTGTTACCCACAGGCAGAAAACTCCTGTCCCCAGGGCTCTAGCCCAGCGGGGTCCTTACTGCTCTGTCTGACCACCAATCCAGACCCAGGCCTGTGTCTTGCCTCTGAGGTCTCCAAGGCCCTGCATCTTGCTGGACTCAACCCTGGGCCACATCTAGCCAGCAACCCTGAGAGTCCCTGTGAGGCTCCTCCAGCTCACTGGCTCCTCACTGCCCTACCTCACCACCTGCAGTGCCGCTGCCTCCGGGAAAGCCTGGTTAAGGTCTTAGGATGCTTCTGCAGCCTTTAGAACCTTTCTTCACAGCCATTCTGTAACATATACAATTACTGTGTAATGTGTAATGGCGATCGATCCCTGTGTCAGTGGTTGAGAGTAGAATGAAAGAGCCTGCGTCTGCCTTAGCCAGCTATCAAGGGGAACTGGGACGACTTGCCAAATTGCAGCCTGCCAAACTGAGCTAGCTCGTCATTTATTGCTGTTCAGTACACTCTAGCACTGTAGAAAGACACAACTATGCACTTGTATGTTTCTTGCATAGTGTGCTCACAACAGGGCGCTCTGCGTGGGGAGCATCGGTGGGCTTACACTGCTCCCAACCCTCACAGCGCCAGCACTGCTAAGAAAGACTCGTGGGTAAGAAAAGAGCTAAGCTTGGCTCCCGTAAAGGCCATTTGCCTCGATGAGGAAAGGAGAGGCTCACACCAGCTGGATGTAGGGGAACCACATCTCAGTCCCATGACAACGTCAGGCCACCTTAGCGGCATCCTAGCAGAGTGGCTATGGGCACGTGAGATGAGCAGGCAGAGGACTTGCGCAGCTGAGGAGGCAGCTGCCCTCACCAGGGCCCACTGGCTACACACTGGGCCACCAGCCCCGAGGCTTTAGCCCAGGCTACAGCCACAGTGATCCCTGTGTCTTCCTGGGGAGACTCACTGGATGCCAAGGAAAGAGGTGTACCGTGCCCTGGAGCGCATTTGGAGGTCCCTTCCCACTCTCAGCTTCCCTGAGGCTGTGATGGCTCATCCAGGTCACCCTGCCATCTTCTCCCTGGGCATCTCTTGCCCGTGGGGCTATTAGTCACTGAGTCCGCCCCTCCTTTCCTTGCAGGACCAGGTCTTGCATCGACAGTATCTTATTTCCAGGTCGGGTGACAGGCAGCTTTGTGGTAGGGCTCAACACTGTTTCCAGGAGCATGGTTCTTCCCAAAGAGAACACAGTGCGTGCCGGCACTCGGGGTTGCCACGGGCACTAGGAGCCACTTTTCCTGGTAGTGGGGATTTGCTGGCCACCTCATAGAGATGGAAATGCCTTCATCATTTATTTCAGTTACGATGGAGGGAGCACCGCAGAGCTGTATGGAGGACCTCAGCCTATACACATGCCAGTGTTAGACCACCAAAGAGATCCCAGAACCGCTCAGTCCCCATGCCCTGTTCCAACCTCATGTACTCCAGGACTCCAACACCAAATGTCCCTCAAGCACTCCTGCATATCTTAGGAGGGAGAGTGAAAGTGGCCTGTGTACCAGGGTGGTCCAGCCCAGGGGTGAGTGGCACAGCTGGATTCTCCCTACCCTCTAGGATCGAATTTGAAAGCCACTGTGACAACAAAGGTCCAAATTCTGAGTTCATGAAGTGGCTCTGTGTTGAGGGTGGCAAGCGGCATGGGGACTCAGTCCTCCATAGTCCTGTGGCAGAGGCGCCCTGCACCCACTCTGGAGAACTTGTGAGTGTCATTAGAATACAGGACCCAAGTGAAGAAGGCTAGTCTCTGCTCACGTGCTCATGCAGCAGCCCACAAGCCCAGCAGGAAGGAGTGGCCAGCTCTGGGCAGGGCGTCTGTTCGTGTGTCTGGCTTAAACACTGGGCAGGCTGGAAGGCAGGTCTCAGAACTGCAATGCGGTCACCCATCCAAGCCCCTCACAGAGGGTGACTGATTTAGGGACCCTGTAGGTGCCTGCCCAGGGCACAATATGCAGACCTCCAGGGAGACAGATGTTAGAGGACAAATCTGTATGTTTGTGCAAGTGTGTTTGTGTGCCTGTGCAAGGATAATGGGTGAATTTGTGCGTCTGTGCATTCTTGTGAGTTCATGTGTG